TGCCTCCTCAGCGGCTCGTGTGCAGGCGCGGCAATAGGGTATGCGCTCCACGATCCCCTTACATTAAGCCGCAGGGTTCGACCACAGCGATATGGTCAAGTTGCTCCTGCCCGGTTCCAGCCTGGGCCAGGCCAATTTGGGAAATTGGGCAGTGCTGGGTATCCCGCTTGGAACTAGGTATCAGGATGCGGTATCCACGCTGCCTGCTCATCCTGAGAGCGCGGATGGCTATATACACTTTTTTTGACCCGTGCCCGCAAAATATGGGGTTGTCGGATTGGGATCGGTGGTGGTGAAAAGCTGGTTCAAGATTGCGAGGTAGGAGAGTTGAGTTCTACTGTTTCTTGCTTCTAATCTTGCTTATTATATAGGACGATTTCGGAGAATTTGTCATTCCACCCCACCCCAATCCGAGTAGCACCCCAATATCGAATGTGCCAATTTCTAACACATCCGACTAATTCCACCAATGTCGAGATTAACAATAGCTAGGGAAGAGACACTATGCCCTTATATCCTGAGAGTATACAAGATATGATGCCCCTTCATAAACAAACTAAATCTTTCCCTCTAACCTTTGTACTTTATATCATATCCCACCCCGAACATGGCGAATCCACGACCCTAGTCAAGTACCACAAGCCGCCGAAGGCGCTGCTAAGATGCGGCCACTCAGAAGAGGTCTTCGTGAAAAGGTATTTCTCTTTGCCCGTGGAACAGGTCTCTTCACTACACATCCCGATTGCGCAATACCCCCCCATATGCTACCCCAATCCACATCAAGGAGAAACCCTGCCCCACGAAGACTTTTGCCGAGCGGCTGTATCTGCAATCAAGCACACTTCAATACATCCATTAGTACAAGTACCGTGGAGTAGATCTCCCCATCGCCATCGCCACCTCAACCACCATACAGCACTAGACTCCCGCTCTTATTTGTAGCCAAGTTCGACGTTGTGGAGCAAAACTGCGAGTCCTAGCGATATCCTAGGGTTGACAGTTTGCGGTGGTCGTCGTGCTGTGACAAGAGACTCGAACTGACTTCGTACCTGTGGTTTGTCTAAGCGGAAAAAAATTCACCCTAGTATTTAGCATCGGATGTGGAGCAAGTGTGATAATTTACCTACTTTCTAACCCACTAGTAGAGCCCAATATACCATACGGTCTCCAAGATTCGGTCCCGTAGCAAGGAGTATTATTGAACAAAGTGGATGCTTCCGGGCCGGCCTGCCTTCTAATCCCGAGCCTCGGGAACCATAGCGCAATCCACGGTCTACGATAGTAACGCAAAATCACTTGATCAGCATTCAATTTCACCGTGGGTGGTTTTTCAACAGTACTGCAGACGTGCGGTAGGGTCTTAGTACCCATTCCGCTCTCGCAGCGTTAACCTGGCAGCTTCATATGATCGGAGTATTATCACTATAAAATGTGACAAGTGCCGATTTCCTGGGAAGAGGGAAAAGAGGGAAAAAAAGGTTTATCATAAATAAATATTCCGCTGCCTCGAATTAGTCCTCCTAGGCCCTGGGTGTTTCTTCTTCTTCTTTTATTCAACTACTACTATTTCTTAAAACGCGTTGCGCGTCATGTGTTGTGCGCTAGGACATCCGTCCTTCCTAAGCTGGGGGTTCTAATTTTCGGTTCTGGACTCCTCGAGTGTATGATATCATATATCCGTCAGTGGTGGTTCCTTTTTGATAGTTTGATAGAAGCTACCGGTACTCATGCGCCTTCTCCGGCGCCCATGGCTTCTCTCGTTTCTCGCGCGTGGGCGGGAATGCTGGTGGGATTGGAGCGGGACGGGTCACGATATCGAGTGATATCGAGTGATGGCAAGAGTTGGTTGGCTAGTGTCGAACGGGGTTGCAGGGTTCGAGGGCTGGGGTGTGACTTTGGGGGTCAGATCTATGTGGTGAGATGCTGTGGAAGGGTTGGAAGGGTTGGAAGGGTGGGGTGGTGATCATGGGGGTTTTGTGATAGATAGTGCGCAGGGGGGGGGGGGGGGGTGCCGATAACACCTTGATGAATTCCTTGTGCAGGCGGTTGTTTGGTTAAAGTTTCCCAGTAGGAATGGGAGAAAAACTGGTCCAAAATATTATATTTACCGATTAACTCCCAATTCCTAAAT